GACGTCTCCCTTCACCCACTTTTCTGTTGTCTGACCCCCAGGGAGGAGTTCACATATACAGTATAAATATATTTGCATATGTCCATGTCTTTTTCTAGACCTCTATAAATGCCCTTTGCCTCCCAGCTCTTTTCTCTATTTCCCTTGACTTTCCTCCTGTCCCACTATCATGCTCAGTCCCCACCAGGTTTTCAGTAATTCCTCTTTGTTATATTACCCTTGATCATACCCTACCATGCTTCCCACACCCACCTCACCAAAAATTTGTATCACTTGTTGTTCCCTTGTCCCTGGGTTTGTTAAGACCACTTCCTTTACCCCCACCTCCCACTCTCCCATGTCCCCTGGGACCTTTTTAAGATCAAAAATAGAAATTACATTAAAAAAATTTTAAACAAAAAACAGATATTAACATTTTCTTTTAGAAAACTGAAATAGGATTATACATACTTTGTATTAAAGAATAATAAATGGTTATAGTTGAATATGATCCATTATAGTTGAATATCATCCATTATAACACTGTAAATAGCTCATCATTATTGAAAGCTGTTATTTCTATAAAATTTCATAGGGTTACTATAAGTCAGTATCAACTTAATGGCAGTGAGTTTAGTAGGTTTTGGGTCAACTCTACAAAAATTCAAATTGAACAGTGTAAGACACAAAATAGCAATAATAACATGTAATTGATCAAGTATTCATTATGGTGGGTGGATGGGGGAGGGAGGGGAAAAAAGAGAAGCTAATACCAAGGGCTCAAGTAAAAAGAAAATGTTGATGGTAACATTTGTATAAGTGTGCTTAACACAATGGAATGATGGATTATTATAAGATTTGTAAGAGCCCCCCAATAAAATGACTAATTAAAAAAAAGTTCAAATTGAAGAATGAGCTAAGAGAGTCATGCTTTTTGTGCATGTCCTTTCTGGGCAACCCCATTTTACAAATGGACCTGTTTTGTATTGGGATTTTATGCAATCAGGAAAGCAGAAATTTGGACGTAGACGTGAATGTCTTTCTCTGGAATTTTGTAGTCACTCAAAAACTCACTGCCATCAAGTTGCTTCCAACTCTCAGTGACCCCACAGGACAGAACAGAACTACTCTTGTGGGTTTCTGAGACTGTAAATCTTTAGCGGACTAGAAAGCCAGATACGTTTCCATTGAGCAGCTGGTGGTTTTGAAGTGCTGGTCTTATGTTTAGCAGCCTGTTGAGCTCTAATTGGCTAAAGTGATTTGTCAATAAGAAAGTCCTTCTAAAAGCAGATCTTACAGAATTAAGTTATAATAAGAGTTGTTTCTTTAGATCGGACTAGGAAATACAGAAGCTGTGGTATAAAAAAGTATAACTTGTATTTGTAGTTTAAAAGAAAGAGAATGCATCTTTTAAAGACAGAATTGAGAGCTATCTCTGGTTTTAATAAGAGTCATATTCCACATTGTTAAGTACCTGTGTTCTGATGTTTTTGGTTCTAGCATGATGTTAAGAATCATCGTACATTTTTAAAGCGGACCAAATATGATGACCTGCGCTTGGAAGATTTATTTATAGGCAACAAAGTGAATATCTTTTCTCGACAACTGGTACTAATTGACTATGGGGATCAGTATACTGCTCGCCATCTGGGCAGTAGGAAAGAAAAGTAAGAAAACAGTTGCATCATAATGTTTTCATTTTTAAGATATTAAGAATGAGAGGCTTTATATAAAATTCAGGGTTCTTGTTTCTATCCTGTGGTTTTTTTTAAAAATTAAAGGAACATTTTATTTGGGTCTCTTACAACTCTTATTACCATCCATACATCAATTGTATCAGACGTAATTGTACATGTATTGCCATCGTTCATTTTTGGACATTTACTTTCTA